ATATTTTTTTAGCTTTATTATCTTCCCCACTAGAGTTTGAGCTCCATGAGCCGGGGAGTACTCCATTTAACAGGCATATCCCAACTGCCTAGGACACTGTCAAGTACATAGGGGGAGCTCATAAATATTAACTGAATTAGTTAATTAAATGAGGAAAATGTCACACATGATGTTTGAGTCTTGGCCTGGGTACCACCAAGGCAGCACCCAATTCTTCTGGCTGCCAATCCAGTCATTGTTCTGGAAAATCCATCCCTACACACCCAGCGTTCGTAAGAGTCTTTCAATTAGCAGTCGCCCACAAAGGTTGGTGAACAAGCTGATTAGGTTAATACCCTCCTAAGGCAGAACTCTGAGGACAACAGAAAATGGATCAAGAACAAAGAAATAAGGAAACGGAAAGAGCAGAGAAGAGATTCTGAAGAAAGCAATGAAGGATGACTCCAAATATAACTAATCCTCAGACACCATAATAAGAAGCTGCCCAAGTCTCACAAAATCATGGTGGTTTCATTGGCATGCCAAAGATTTCCAAGGGATTGAGAATTACAGAACAAACACAATGTTTATACATGGTACAGGCTGGTCTCCTCTCCTAAGTGCCCCACACAAAAGCAGTCAAGTCCAGTCCTCATTTCCAGTAGCGAGATTCCTATGCAGGTATCTGTGCAGCAGAAGATGGGGACTTGAGACAAGCAATTGCTTTTCCCACCGCCCCTGCTCGGATTCACTATCCCAAGGACAATCTCTGTCCATCTCTAAGGTCCGTTGTCCGTGCAAACCTTTTATTAAACTGCCATCCGAGAGGCAGAGTGAGAAAGGAGGAAAAGGAAGAAGAGATGATTCCTCCCTTGATTTGACTTGAATAACAGCATAAAGAAATACGCACGTGATGGTTTTTAAATGCATAGATTTTAAATGGTAACTACCTCCTCACCCATTGCATTTCTAGAAAGTCTCCCTAAGAAAATAACAGGAACAGGGTATAAAGGAAAATGGGAAAAAGTGACCATTTGGTGTTTATTATAGGTACCAAAAAAAAAATCTCACTGGACACAAACTAAAAAGTTCATTATCAAGAAATCGGTTCATAAAATTGAACATAGGCGTACACTGGGAAGCTATACAGCCACTAAAAATGATAATGTGAGAATTTACATTTATCAATGCAAAGAAATTTATAAAATTTGGCTTTAAAAGAGTAAAACATGATCCCATTTCTGCAAAAAATAGAAAATACATTGTATATGTTATGTGTGAGTAGATACATAGACGTCCAGAAGATAAACGCCAAAATGTTTTAATTTCTTCTTTATCCTTCCATATACATATATATGTATAATCAGATATACATATACATGTTTGAATGTTTTACAGTGTATTGCTTTTAGTAAAAAAAAAAACTGTGTTTCCTTTTATTAAAAAATGCGGCGCACCTCTTACCGTTCTGTTCCAGGAGAGTGGACAACGCGTTTGCGGATGCCTGGAAGACCTCTATGGACGAGGAGTGCATCAGCATAGACAGCATCACTTCCCTATGAGCTGGGAACCTTCCGCAGAGACAGTCACAAAATTAGTGCCTATTGTTTTAATAATTCGCACTTATCATTGTCTAACCTCTAATAAATAAGGGCATATAAACAACATTTTATCCCACCTCCATATACAAAAATGAATTCTCATTACACAGTTTTACATTTAAAAGTTAGAGTCAAATCCATTAAATAATAATATTAGTATTTCCCTGTTTCTTCAAAGTTGATACGCAGATAAGGAGGAAAAAATACAGCAACTATAGAAAGAGGTGCTAAGAGTAAAAAGAAGATAATGGGAGGAAGAAAGAAAAATAAAAATATGTAAAGAATTCACATGAGTTTTTAAAATTTACAGCTTCAGTTTATTTTCTTTTATTAATGTATTTCTTTTAAATCTCTCCTGTGGATACTGAGGAATCGGTGTGCTATGAACTGAAATTTATAAACTGTAATTAAATCCACCTAACTCTGATCTCTTAAAAAGATTGTTCAAAGTGGATTAGAACACTGGCTTAACATATAATTTTCAAAAGATTGCTATTTCCTTTCAGAATGGAGGAATTTAATTAAATAGCATATGTGTCATGAATTCCCTTCTGATCGGCAGTGGGTCACTACACAAACAGGCTGTCAGGATTTGAGATGTAGAATAGTACTCTTTAAATTTCCTTGATGTCATTCAAATTTTAAAATCCAGAGCAAAAAACACAAATACAAGCAGTTGCTGTAAAACAAAAAGGCTTGTGGCCATGAGGCAAATCTGACATACGTGAAAACTTTTGCTCATATTTTGCATGTCTGAGAGAGACAGGCTGGTCTAATGATGCTTGAATGATACACCCACAAAGCCTCAAGAACTGCCAGCCAGGAAGAACCCTCTCAGGGGAAGACAGGCCAACAGTGCCAGTCAGGGGGGCAATCACTAAAGGAGGCTTCCTACCATATTTAATTCCTGGTACTGACAACCTGCTGGCTAGTCCCCACAACAGAAAAGGTCACAGTGGCTCTGTAATTTCTATCACCTGAGATAATTCAATATGGCATTTTTAAAAGACGGGCGAAAAATGCAAAGGTTTTTCGTTTTCTCGAACATTCCTAGTTTACTGAATGACTCTCGATTCCAAATCACTCAGTAATAACTCTCAAACACACCACCTGTTACTGACTACTGAACAACATCTTATATATCCACTACTGTTTTATGTCAACACTTAAAACATATATGACCATAACGAAAATATGTCTAACAATAAAAGTTGCGGTTATGGTATTTTGTATTTTATATAAAAATATAAGTGAAATTCTCTATCATATAAAATCAGAACTACTGACTGGCCATCTTCATCTCCAATCTTCTCGTGTAAACCTTTCTGGTACATCAGGAGATTGTTCAGAGCCCAGCACGCAGCCTCCTGGGTTAGGGGAGGGGGGGAAAAAAAGAAACCTGTCAAAACATAAATCACTGAACAAACACGATTTCAAATAGATCTGATATTTACGAGAGGGTCCAACCTGCACGTGCCTGTTTTTTCTGTGCCATGTTAGCGCTTTGTAACACGCTTCCAGCCAAAACAATTTATCCTCTTCTTCCTCGTCATTCTGATTCTCACTCTTCTCCTCTAAGTCTTGATTCAAGAAAATGGTCTCAGCTTGAAAAAAATATGAACATATGATTTACCATGTAAATAACCGATTTCAAGTCCATATTTTGAAACATTATCAACAGAGTGATGTATTCTTTCATAATGTCCTTGGTTAAATGCAAAGACCTTTTAATACATTACACACCTCAGAGGAGTGCCATCCCACCTGGCTGAATAACCGAATGGGGAAGAAATTTCCAAACAAAACCAACAGGTTAAGAGAAGACAAATTGAGGAGATTAGGTGCCCAGGGACAAAGCTAAGTATGTATTTCCTGACGTACAAATTGGGAAGGGTGCACTTAATCACAACTATTAGTTCCCCTGAAAGTGTCCTCGACTGGAAAATGAATTACGTGGGACAGAAAAGGCATTTAGTGCTTCCTTCTCTGCATGTGACTTCTTTGTTACAATGTTCACATTCAAGATCAAAGGCACCCTCTGCAACATCTTTTCTGTCTTGGCAGAGAGCAACTGCACTAGTGGCGGCGAAGATTTAATCATACGGGGCCCTGCTGAACAGTGTGTTGTATACTTGAAACTAATATAAGATGGCATAGCAACTATACTTCAACTAAAGAAAATTAAAAAATAAATAATATTAAAAAAATAAAAGACCAAAGGCACCCACAAGAATTTCCATTTTAGTAGAGCCACTTACTGAGGAGTGCTAAACAGCTGAGGGCTGCGATCTGTAACGTGGCATTCTTCGGATACCGTTGTACGGCGGTCACCACAAACTCATGCACCTCATTTAATACCAGGATATTGAAAAAATTACCTGAAAGTGAAGGAAGATGTTAGCTGAATTCCTGGAATTTAAATCACTTGTAATTATGTAACAGTAGTTCAACCAATAAATTTGAGTAGTTAGGAATATTTTAATGGCATTAAAACATATATTTACTTTAATCAAAATAGCTTAATATGGTTGTGTAAAGTTTTACAGATTTATTTCATGCAGCCATTTGATTATTTTACTTAGACAATGAAACGGACTGAGCAAAAATGATGTGTTTGGGATATATTAACTTTGTGTTCCCTGGCTGCCTCTAATGGCGTCCTCAAGTGAAACACTGATACACATGGCATGACAATTATCATCGGACAAAACAGCTTAACTTTCTTGCCTTCAGAAAAATGAAAAAAGACCCTCCCTTGTCATCAAATGCTTTTGCTGAAACGCTCTTCTCTCACTTAAAGGAATGCTGCTCAGAAAAACCCACTGCCCCATTTATTACTACTTGATCTTGTCTGCGATGATTTAGAAGAGAAATAAGGGAATATTTTACCACCTCTAACCCAACCCAGGAGGAAGCCCCACACCTTTTTATACTCACTCTTCTGAAACTCAACACATCATCCAAAAATCTAAATCCTTATGAGAAAATAATCTGTAAATGATAATCCAGAAATATGCACCTCCTTCCATTTGGCTTGCAACTCACTAAAAGTCACGAGGTTCCTTCTGGATCTAAGAATGAAACTATTATTTAGCTGTAAGTGTTGTTATATAATCCCTGAGACACGAAGCCAGAACTGGAAAAGATCTTATATCATGGAAAGCCTAAAGTTCACACCAAAAATTAATCAGTGACTTCAAAATCAAAAGGCCGTTTAACAAGGTCTAGCTCATCCTTTTCAACATCTTATGTTTTTGCTTTTCCCATATTCACCCACTAAGCAGACAAACTCCCCAGCCCTTGGTGGTGTCTAGTCTTAGAGTGCCATTTCGAAAAGATTCTCCTGTGCTTTTACAAACTTATCTAAACTTGGGTTGTCCCGTTTACCTTCTTTTTCCTGTTACTCCCCTGTCACTGCCAACAGCTGCTCTACCACCAACCAGCAGTGTGACTCTGAGCAAATGCCAGTATGACTGACTTTACCTTATTTTCAGACAATGTATGTGAAAATACATAGAAAATTGTATAAGGCCTTTAAATGCAGTAAGCTCATAAGTAAACTACATAATTTGACAAAATGTTAAGTGCTTATATATTGACTTTGGGTTATTATTTTAATTACGAGGAGGAAGTTAAAGTTTAACCAGCTTTTCTTGCAGAACAATACAAAACTTATAAATGAGACAGCTTGTATGGTTTATTTGATTTCAACAGCATAAGGCCAAGCACCCTTACTGTACCATTATAGGCCAATTTGACAACCAAGCACCATTTCCTCAATGGTGACAGTCAAAGCATTTCTTCCTCTCACTTATTTCAAGGGATGAAGGTGAACTCACATTTTTAATATAAGTTGTGCAAGTTGGAACTTGACTATGGTAAGTTGTAGAACATGAAAGAGAGAATTCTATTTTAGTGCACTACTCTATTAGCTAGACTTTTAAAAAATCTTTTGAATTACATTAAAATGTTCCCATATATAAGCTAGCTTATACAACTGTGTCCTTAATGAAAATATAATGAGCAAAAATCTCTTCTGATAAAAGGTGTAAATTAGTAAATGGCTATTACGCTTTTAAAAAAAAATGCTTTCTTTGGCTTAGGGAAGCAGAAATCTGGGTTTTCAGTTTGATTTCTCCCCTTACTATATGATCTTGGATAAGACACACCAATTTGCTGAAACAGACACACCAATTTGCTGAAACAGATCCTCATATAACTATGGAGATAATAACAATATTCCATCTCCCAGGATTGTTTCAAGGATCTAAAACCTTTACATGTATGAAACTACTTAGGAAACTATGAAAGAACTATGCAAATATTAATACATTATCATTATATCTCCACAGTTTTGGTCATATGAGAAACACTTGATATATGCTTATCAAGGAAAGAAATAAAATGAAGTTGTACATGCAAATGAAAATTCAATTTCTAAAAATCACATCTTAACTGATACTACCTGGTAACTTTACTAATGCTGAAATGAATTTCTGAATTACGCAGGAGATATAGTCATAATTCTAGAAGTTAAAAATCTAAGTTGCTGGCGTAAAATTATGAAAATTAGTTTTTTCAAAAGAATGATGATTTTTCCCACCAAAGTTGTAGTGATCAAAGGCTAAATGCCTATTCCAATAATCCTGAGTTTGCGCAAAACATTTCTGATAATCTTTTCAGGGAAACGTCATCAGCACCAATGTCCAACAGATAACAATCCTACTTTATCGTTCACCAACTATTCAGCTTTTAGTGCACCGTTCTGCTCACAAAAAAATATTAAGGGAAGCTTCAAGGTGCGTACTCGGGGAGGGGAGGGTTAAGGAGAAGGAGGCCAAACAAGGAGTTGAGACAAGAACTACGAGCTGAAAGCAAATGGACAATCAGAGTAGCCTTGTGGGAAATTATCACTGTGATCCACAGACTAGCCTTGGACTCTCTCCAAGGTATCAGCATCTCCCACATCAAGCTCAAAAGGGTATTCCGATGTGTTCCCAGGTTAGTCCTGAGCCCTGAGCTCCTGGAAAGCATCTCTGGAGGAGCCCCTGTAATTTAGGTCCTCAGGATTCTCAGATTTAACTCCAAGAGAAACTCACATGCAGTTCAGAAAACAAGGCTTTGTGACATGTTGACTATAAGCCTAGAAGCAGTGGGTTTCAACTCCTGAGAACTTCATGTATTGGAATTATCAGATGCAGAACACAAGATAGCTATGTATTATGACTAAAGGAATACAAATAAAAAAGGAAAGAGCAAGGGGAGAAAAGGAAAAACAAAAGCAAACAAGAGTAGTTAAAAGTTACCTGGGAGATCTGAAAATAAAAAGAGATTTTTAGAAATGTATAAAAAATCAAATAAATGACCAAGTTAAATTTATCCCAAGACTGCAATACGACATTCCATTATTAAACTTGCAAGTGTGATTCTCCATATTATCAAGATGTTCTTAATATATTCTTTTAAATCTTTGATAAATTCAGCACTCATTTAAAAATAAAAGCCACATGTAAAAATAAATGCAAACAAGGAACAGAGGGAAACTTCTTAACTTGATAAAAACTATTTGTCAGAAAACAAGATTGAAACAACAAAAATCTTATCACAAGCACCGTTCTGGATGGGAGAACACTACAGCATTCTCTTCAGAGTCAAGAACAAGATAAGAAAGCCTTTATTAATAATTCGATTCTATTTAAGAATGTGCTGATAATTTCGGGCCATGCACAAAGACAAGGAAGTGAAATGATGTTTATAAAGAGAAGAAAGGAAGAACTCAAAATGTCATTATTCACAAATTAAATAATTACTACATAAAAACACCTGAGAGCATTTATACGTAAATTGTTAGAATTAATAAAAGAGTTTAGAAAGGTAGGTAAAATCCATATACCAAAAAATCATTCACATTTCTTTATGCCTATACGGTTCAAAACTACAACTGTAAAAGAGATATTTCTAATAATTAAAAAACAAGATATCTAGAAATAACTAACAAGATGTGCAAGACTTGTATGGAAGAAATTATAAAGAAAAGTTGCCAGTTCTTCTTGAATTTATCCAGATACTTTGAAATTCCAGTCAAAATCTCAATGAAGTTTTCCAAGGAACTGGAAAATTTTAATTATAAAATTTATATGGGGTAGTAAAGGCCCAAGAAAAAAGTCAAACTGTACCCAAGTAAAGAAGAATGTATAGTGATAGAATATTAGCTTTGCAGGTATCAAGACTTACAGAGCTACAGTAATTTAAACAATATATTGGATCCGGATGAATCAAAATAACCAATGCCACAAAAAACAATAAAAACAGGAACCTATATTTAATAATATATGTAATGTATGTTATAGACGTGTAATACATATATATTATATATATTCAGTGTATCATACCACTGGGAAATGGATGAACCATATAAGAAAGTATGCTTTCCATATTATAAAAAAGGGAATTGAATTCCTACTTACAGAAAATGATTCAAGACAGATTACAATGCTTTAATCCTTAAATTACAAAGATTTTGGATAACATATATTTATTATCTTAAGGAAAGATTTCCTAAGGTATATTTAAAAGGGGTAAAGCTCAAAGCAACTGATTATTAAACTAAATTACAAAGTCGCCTTAAAGATGACGAAAGGACAGGTCACCAATCAGGGGAAGATGGTCTCAGTACATACAACCAACTACCAAAAAATTATTACCTAGAACTATGAATCAATTTTTAAAAGGAACGACTATACTATGAAAAAATAGATGAAGACAAATCAGGTATTTTGCTAAGGAGAGAACACCAATAGCAGAGAAATACTTAAAAAGATATGCACCCCCATTTATATTTTAGCAGCATCATAGATGGTAGTAGCATAAAATAAGAAATAAACCAAATGCCCACTGATAGGAGAATGGAAATAAATTGTGCTATCTCCATATAATAGAATACTACATTCAAGTATATGCAAAAATATTTGAGTCTTAAAAACATAATGTTAATTTTTTTAAATTGCAGAAGACAACATCCACCATGATTTCATTTTTATTAAGCAGCATTAACTATTTTGTTTAGGGAGATATGTGAATATAGTAAAATAGTATTTAGAAAGCAAATGATTTATCAGCACAAAATTCTGGATAGGGTTAACCTTTGTAAAATATCAGGGGAAAGACGTAGCCCAGAATAACTTTACAGCACTGGCACTACGCTAATATCTAAGTTGGGTAGGAGCTCTTCTGCATTGCACTTCACATTTTCTGCTGTATTCTTCTGTATGTATCAGCCATTTACATAATTATACTTTAAATGCAGCACTGACAGTAAGATTTCTCTTACATTACACATATCTACTGTTGCCACTCCTTTTAAAATTTCATCCAAGCAGGGCAGAACAGTTTGCTACAATATTTCCATCCAATGAATGTCAAGATGCTATTTATTCATCAACGTACAACATACATATGATGTATACACTTGCAGAGACTGCAATAATAAATTAACCAAGAATTATAACTCACCTAATGTAAGCCTGTGGAGCAAGCAGCAACTCACTTCTTGAATTTTTTCATGAATAGGGAATGCTTCCATGACTTCTACCACAATATTGTAACACCTGACATTGCCGCTCATGAGGACTTCAACATTATTGCCTAAATTTAAAGAAATCATAATTACCAATAAGGTAAGTATGCATACAAAGCCATCTTACATAGATTACAACGATCTGGCAGATGGCCATGTTTCCAAATTTAAGTATCAGGTTTTGTCAAGTAGCTATAAAAAACACTATGTTGTTCATTGCTAATTAACAGGACTTAGGACTCATCTCTAGTATGAAGGAAATGTTGCTTTATTCCAGTTTCTTGGCTTAAAAACTTTTTAAAAGGGGGAACTTGGGAGTGCTTTTGTAGAAGTCTAAAACGTAATGTGTGAATCATAAATTCCACATAAATTAACGTGGGACCTGTTTCCCAGTGAGGCGCTGCTCCATTGGATAATGGTTTTACGTTGTTCCTTTTCCCCAAACCAACAGATGGAAAAGTAAGAGTATGTCACATAACAGAACAGACAGAATCAGATATGATCTATTTCCTGTCCATTCCAGAAGGGCAGAAGATCAGTCAGGGTAAGAGACAGCAACATCACGCTTCCTAAAGGCTTGGAGACAGACAAGGAAAAGGGGAGGAGAGGCATGATATTAAAATATACGGCTAAGGGGCGAACATAGGTGAACCAGAAAGGAAGGAAGAATCCTTTGGGGGAGGCAACGAACCAATAGGGAGTATGTGAACCTATGTGGAGAAAACGAATTTCTAAGTCCAAATGAAATGTTCACTATTGTTAACAAAAAATGGTGTCTCCAAAGCATTTTTCTATCTTTTGCAGCATAAACTGTTTCCCCCCCCAAAACATTTTTTAATGTTTAAATTCTATTAAAAAAACATTAAATATAGAAAAACATATCATCATGAAAGGAAATGGCCTCTTAAAACAATTATGTGCTTCTATTCAGAATAGAAGACATAATTTGCTGTAAGGCTCAAAGGCGAATGTCTTTGTATTAGAATCAGTGTTTAAAACATTTTATTAGTTTTATTTTCAGTTGCAGCTTTCTCTGACCTTTGCATTATGAACCAACACATTTTCATGGAGTTATGTCAGATGTGGGTAGAAACAATGAGTTTCAAAAACAGCCAGCTCTAAATAAATAAATAAGTGTATAAACATAGCCAAGGAAAAGCAAAATAAAGAATAGATTCAGTTTGTTGGCATGGATGACTCAGAGAAATTTTAGACTCTACACATTCTCTATTATTATTCAGCCCCATCTCCTCTGAAGTGTTTAATTTCCCATGCATAAGAAAATGATGGATTTATAACCATCACACACAGAAAAAACAGTTTTTCACAAGGGGATTGAGTTTTCATGCAAGTCTCACTTCTGCAGATTTCTCTATGTATATTAATATATTATATATGCAGACATTATACTATGCACATACAAAATACAAATTAAATAATACTGTGAATGTTTGTAAAACACTTATTACATGTGAGGTACTATTTGGCATTTTTCCCATTATTTAGCCATTTAATCCTCACGTGTGAAGATGAAAATATTATGAGATGTGCATACCCTGTACAAACCCACACAGGTACTACGTGAAATACAAAATGCTCATGTGCACTTATAAAACAAAAGTAATCGAATCTGAAGCACTATCTTAACCCATTAGCAATCACCTCTAACACACATCAAATTAATTTCTTACTTGCACGTTTTTTGTGGTAAAGGGGTTGGATTTCAAAGCATGCCTAAATGCTAAACCAGAATCACATAAAGTTCAAACTCCTTCCTGTGGCTCTTCAGGCCCTTCCAGATCTGATTATGTCTCCAGCCTCATCCACCGACTCTTACCAAGCCCTCCCCCACCTCCATGAAATAACACCCAAGTAGACACTCAGGGCTGTGCACGTACATACGCACATGTGCGTAAACCCACCATCTGCTGCACTATGCTTATCTTCTCGGAGGCACTGTGCGGTCTTGCTCCAGGATATTCATGCTCACCATGTGCCCTGCCCGGGACACTGCACGCATTTCCACCTTACCTCACACCTCTCTACCCACACAGGCCTCCTCCACATTCAGGTCTCTGCTAAAAGATCTTGCCTCACTCTGTTCTCAAAAACCTAAGTACTTCTGCCAACGCCTGCCTTATAATACATTATAATCACATATGTACTTATCTGTAGCCTGCATGGAGCTCTGCAAGGAGGGCAAGAAAAATATTTATATTTTCTGCTCTGGTTTCCCCAGCACCAAGCCCAGAACCAGCTGCAGTACAGTATCAATAAATATAAATTAATTAAGTGAATAAATAAATGAATGGGTTTAACATGCATAAGTTTCTAAATAATAAAAATATTTTTAACACACTCAGAAAAGGAGGTACATTGTAACTTTTCAGATACGAAAAAAAATCATGAATACAGGCTACTTACAAGGAATTGCCAGGGAATGTAAACAGTACAGGACATGAAGCACAATTTCCTCTTCATCTTTAAAATGTTTTAATGCATTTAGCAATACCATATAGTCTTTATTCTCAACAAATTCTGTCAGCTGCTCATCTGAAACTAAAAAAGGAAAGACAAAATACTGAAAAAGCTCAAACATGATATAAGAATATAATTACTCAAAAGTGTAACACTCATGATAGTTCAATGAGGCACAGTAAATACAATAGAATGTTAATTTAAAAATATATTTCAGCAGAAGACCCTTCCTGAGAATTTTATAACGGAAAAAAAAACCTATTGAGATTAAAATAATTGCATGTTGACCTACATTAGGAATTCCGTGTTTTGAAATGTACAAGTGTTAATGACCAGACAGCTCTCAGAAAAACAAAATTATTTATAATTTCATTTGGGGAGACTAGAGAAAACTGACCAACGACTAAAAATGATGGCCTGTTACTCACTGGAGGTGAACATACCACAGTACTTCAAAAGGAGTGGTTAATGGGACACTGTCGAAGGGCGGCTCAGCTAAATGTATTAATTAACTCGAGGGTCAACTTTAGAAAATGACAACTAATTTGACATTGAAATACTCTGTCTCAATGGTTTTCATTTTAAAAAGATCAGAAATTGTCATCATTAATTTTAATACTTAAAGTCTTTTCATCAAGCCAATGAGTTCCATTCAGAGTCATTTTATTGGGTGATAACCTCAAAAGCATGTATAAAACTCTGTTTTTTCTAGCCTGAGAATGGTGGTAACAAAAATGTTAGCAAATGCAACACTCTTCATAATCAACAAGACTTTTTAGTTCTCCAACTTTTTAATTTATAAACCATGAATGAAATTCATTCCACACAAATAAGCAATATTTGATTTACCTGCACTATTTAGCCTTCACTGACAGCTCCTACTTCTTAATAAATGGTACAATTTTAGATACACTCTTACTCTCAAAATTACATTCTACTTTCCCCATTATCAACCCTTTTTTCTTATGCAAATATCAAAATGAATAATCTGACACTTTAAAATACCTGTCTCAAACAGCACACGTAAAGCTTTGCAGCCAAGTTTCTGGACTTCATCATTGGCTGAAAATGTGCGCATGGCATCGAAAATTAACAGGAAAATATCACTTTCTTCATCCAATATCAGCAAAGTGATTTTACCTATTTGGAAGAGAACAATATGCCCCGAGTAAATAGCTGCTTTAACATTTAATGTAGTCATGTTCACATGAGGATTATGAACGGTTTGTAGACTTTTCACCACTTGGCCCAGATGTTGGACCTATCAAGTTCTACGGTAAATTCCCAGTACACTTTACTATGACTCTGTGATTCCCAATCAATCCTACATGTATGGTGACCAAGACCTCTTGTCCTAAACTACTGAGACACACTTCATCTGCCTCTTAGACAACACCACCCAAATATTCCACGGCCACCCCAATTTAGCCTATTCCCTGTCTTCGTTCAACAGTAATGATGCCATCACCCAAGAAACATCTCCCTTGCCCCTCCTCCCTCTCTCTTCTCATTCTCTGCCCAGCCAAAGAACCAACTCAAGACTAAGTCCTTCAAGTCTATCTTCTAAACATCTGGAAAATTCCTTTTGAACTAAGCCCTTCCATTCCTGTTGTGTTCAGGACCTCGTCACCTCCCGCCCCGAGTGCAAACACAATTGCTTAAAGGCTCAGCTTAACCCAAATCTCTACCTCATTTAATCGCTGCATTATACTACTAAAAACAAAATGTGATCTTTTAAACCCCTTGCTGAAACCTTTTAAGGCCTCCCATAGTCCTCAGTCCAAAAACGAGACCCTTCACAAACTGAGTACACGGATCTCACCGGCGCCAGTCCTTCCACACGTCGCCTCAGTTCCAGACATGCAAACCCCTTGCTCCTTGCTGACCGTTTTCTCTGATACCCAAGTGCACTTGCACTGGCATTGTGGGATGCCCTTGCCCTTTCCCGCACCAAACATACTCCCACCATAATTCAAGAAATAACACCTAAATAATGAGCGTCTCAGACACAGGCTGAAGCAGTTCACTCTTAATACATGTAAACCCAGCACAACCCCATGAGGTAGGTGTGATCTCCATTTTAGATGTAAGAAAACAAGAAAACAGCACAGAAAGGTTAACTGACCCATGTGATTTTTGTCTAGGGTTCAACAGCTAGTAAGAGGCAGGGCTGGATCGACATTTAGGCAGTGCATGTCCATGCTCTTAACTTTGTACAAATGTGTTTAACTTTTTTCTTCTCGATGTTCCTGTGGTGGTTTTCTACATATCTCTGTTCCAGTACTTACAATAAAAGTGATTCATAAATTAACACCTCCATAAGTATCTGAAGTGGACTTCAAAATGCATAAAACAGCTCACAGCGCAAAATCCTAAATGTTGTATGGAAGAAATTGATTTAACTCGTCTTTTCAAAACATATGCCGAATTTCCAAACTGTTTGCATGCTGCTGACTCAATATATCCCAGGATCGGGAGACTCTTCAAAAACCCTCGGTTTCCTGCCCACTGTGAAATGGAGAACAGAAAAGAAAAAGGGGGGGCTGCCAACGAGTTTAAAATACATTATGGTTACGACTAGTGGGTACGTCGTACTATCCATTTCAGTAAAGGCTGCGGCGAAGTGGCAAGGACTTTGGGGCCATTCCCATCTCTTTCTTCATGCTCTGCTTTTCTCTCTTCTCTCTTTCTTCGTCCCCCGGGCTCCTATTGGGTTGTCATTATTAGCAAAGCCAAGAAGACATTTAAAATCTCGCCACCGCTGTGTCCACCCTCGCATGCCGTCCTCCCAGGTCTCTGCGACTCTGCACACACCGACCTCCTGACCTAATGCGCCGTCCACGGCGCTAAGGGAGACGCCTCCCTGACCTTCGTGGTCAGCTCCCCTGCAAGCAGCCTTTCTTCTCAGAGCCTCATGTCATAGCAAGTGTCCATCACAGCAATGACCATGATCACTGCACCATATAAAGAGTCTTTGTTTTAGGTCTGTAACCCTCTAGGCAGAAGTTTCCTCAGGGAAAGAACCTGACAGGCAGAACCAGACCCCGGTTCTACCACTAACTGGCTGAGGCAACCTCCCCGCACGCCGGTGCTTCTCCCAGGAAACCGAGGTAAAACGCCATCTCAAGGGATGTTTGGAGGACTATGTTTTTAAAAGCATGTGAAGTGTTTGACGCATGAAGCCTGACACCTGCCAGGCATTCAAGAAGTAACGCTATAGATTTTTAAAATATTGCTATTATGTCATCCTCTAGAACACGTACTATGGGAAACACATTAGAGACATAAAGGAGAAAGAAATAACAATGACAAAGCCATGCATGGCGACCAGCTACTGGGAATGTGAGACGTGGGACCAGGTTTAGAGCAAAGCAGAGGATAGAAATTAGGTTTAGGGATAACACAGAAGGTGATGTTCAAGATCAAGACATTGGGTGGGATTTTTGAGAGAGAAAGTGTAGAAAAATGAGATAAGGAGAGAAAATGGAAACAAAAGAGTTTCAGAAATCGATATTTAGGTTATATTATTATACTTTAAAAAGACTTTAACACACACTTGATAAATGGTTTAAACATTTTTTAATTTGAGTCAGCATTAAAATATAAGTATGTATATACTACCTGAAGTGAGGAGGTGATCTAAGACCTTCAGTCCAATAACTGACAAGTTGACACTGGCATTATGAACTGTTAGCATCTTAAGAATTAGTCTGTAATTAAAAACAGAAATCAAGATAAGAGTGAAATATGACACCTTAGACATTTGTTTTTTTACATATTGTTTTTTACTCACCTATATTTTTATTTGTCTCATTGTATTTCCTTCCCTATATTGAAGCTCATTTGTTATTTTCTTCCTATAAACCTGAGCCAGACTTCTGACAATGAATAGGGAATTGTTAAGAATTTCAAATGAAAAGTTATGACTTTTTCCTCTGAATAATCAAACTCAATTATGAATTATTTTCATCCAACTCTATACCCAAAATATCATAACCCTCTATGCACCAAAAAAACAAGCCCATTCTTGTACGTGATAGAAACTTGTGAATGTGGTACATGTTGATATATAAAATTATAGAGATGTAATAAAGATGCTAGTTTGCATATACATTAAGAACCATTCGAATATTTAAATTATTGACTGTTACTATTTTTGAAAGAGAAATGAACAATAATTTATAATGGAAAGTGAACTTAGTATATCAATAACATTCAATTGGTTCAAATTTATTAAATCTGAGCCCCTGAGTTATCAACTCTAAAATATACAGTGTTTAATCTGTTCCTGCCAAGTGCTGTTTGGCTTCACAATGTTAGAAGACGGAGCCTGGTGACGTCCACGGTTTCATCAGATCCAAGTAGTCTGGTCACATGGTCTCCAGGTAGTAAGGTAAGAGACTGAGACACTCCATCCTTCGAGTCGCTGTCCATTCTCCTCCAACCCCTGCTGCCCCTAAATCTCCCCACACCATTCCCGCTTTTCCTGATTTCACCACCACACAGATTTCTTCCTTAGCAATGTAAGCCTTTGGGGGCAAAAGTCCTTGAATATAGGGAGGTTATGTTTTACAATAAATTTTTGCTGGGAATGATCTAATATGCCCCACTGTGAAGAGCGGTGTGTCTATCTTGTTCAACCTATTTCTGGCCTTAAGTACAGGTGTCACAAATACCTGATGGATAGTGGGTAAATGAATGGATGAGGGAATGAGAGAGGGAATGAGACTGCCTGTAGAAATGTTTATGTAATTTCATTCAAACAGTTGGTTTGTACTAGAATATTAAGTAGGTGAGTTTTCCAATACTCTGTAAGGTTACAGATCGCTAATCTTTGGGGATCTTGGAAATTCTCAACCAAAGCAAGGGACACATAATGTTACAATTGCTAATTACAGGTATATTTTGCAAAAGTCTTCGTTAAGTGCTGTATGCTTCAGAACTGACTCAGAATTTCAGAGATTTGTTTGGCAATGAATCATACATTAATTGTACATATGCTCTTTTGAAACACTCTTTAGATGCTGGAAACTGAAGAACAATGCATATTTATTGAAGATGGGAAAACATAAACAAAGCTCTCATTGGTCTAAATTAGTAGCTTTAGTTCATAATAAGAGACAACACAAAGACATAATGTTTAGTTTAGCATAAATTATGCTTTTTATAATATGCCACTGGAAACAATTTTTGTTCATTCTCTGTGGTAAAGTCACATTGTATATAAAGAACACCTAAAGTTACTGACAGAAATGTTTTCTAATTTTCAAGAAATAAAGTTATTCAAAAAGGATTTTCATAGAAACACATTTTTCCTTCAGAAAATGTTTTCTTAACTAATTACAACTAAAGAAGTGGTCTCATCTAAGGAGTCATTTTCTTGCAAACTGCAATAAAAGCTGGTAAAACAGCTATCAAGGTTTGGTTGCAAATGTGTTGAAAGGTAATTTCCTCTTTTTTCTTAATTTTGAAAGCTGTGGTTTAAGCCCATTAAAGATGTATGAATATACATGAAGGTGCTTTTTAAAGACAGTAAAGCATAAACATCTACATTACTATTTATAGGACTTACTTTTTCTTTTTTTTTTGGAAGAACCAGTGTTTTATATCAGCCCTACTAGTAAAAAAATAAAAAAATCTCTCCCTGGTTTCAACTCATAAGTTATCATCAATAACCTACAACTTAACCAACTGGGTAACTCTACCATTATATTATTAAAATTATACCACCACCTGCTATGTTACCACAAACGTCAATTTTCTAATTCCATTAGATAATACATCTCTGAGTTGAAAGCTATCTATAAATACAAGTTACAACTCCAGGAAAAATATCTATACTTTAAAGGATTTTACCAGATTGGCTTAGATTGTAAATATAATGTATCCAGGGAAGGGCTGTAATATGTATAGACAAATATTGAGTGCAGTTCATTTTTAAACCTGTTACACTTACTGATGAACCCCAAGAACTTCCCAATCATGTCCAACATCCTGGGGTCCCATTAAGGTTTGCATTGTATCCGGGTAGATTTCTATCAGTTTGCAGAGAAGTGACCAACCAACCTGAACGCAAGAAAGGAAAATATTCACATTTTTAAAAAACACCTAAACGGAACATAGTCAGTCAAACATGCATCTCTTCATTCTTAGTAGACTGGGGTGACTACATTATTTTTAAATGATTATTTTGGAACAAAATGATATCCTAAAATGCTTACTGAGAAATGAAAGCCATATATTGGAATACATTTTTCTACAAAAATCATACAGAAGGACAAACAAAAAAATATTGTAACATTTCTGAATAGTGAAGGAAATAGGCAAGCCTATTATCCAAATACTCATTTGTTATTTTCTTCCTATAAACCTGAGCCAGACTTCTGACAATGAATAGGGAATTGTTAAGAATTTCAAATGAAAAGTTATGACTTTTTCCTCTGAATAATCAAACTCAATTATGAATTATTTTCATCCAACTCTATACCCAAAATATCATAACCCTCTATGCACCAAAAAAACAAGCCCATTCTTGTACGTGATAGAAACTTGTGAATGTGGTACATGTTGATATATAAAATTATAGAGATGTAATAAAGATGCTAGTTTGCATATACATTAAGAACCATTCGAATATTTAAATTATTGACTGTTACTATTTTTGAAAGAGAAATGAACAATAATTTATAATGGAAAGTGAACTTAGTATATCAATAACATTCAATTGGTTCAAATTTATTAAATCTGAGCCCCTGAGTTATCAACTCTAAAATATACAGTGTTTAATCTGTTCCTGCCAAGTGCTGTTTGGCTTCACAATGTTAGAAGACGGAGCCTGGTGACGTCCACGGTTTCATCAGATCCAAGTAGTCTGGTCACATGGTCTCCAGGTAGTAAGGTAAGAGACTGAGACACTCCATCCTTCGAGTCGCTGTCCATTCTCCTCCAACCCCTGCTGCCCCTAAATCTCCCCACACCATTCCCGCTTTTCCTGATTTCACCACCACACAGATTTCTTCCTTAGCAATATAAGCCTTTGGGGGCAAAAGTCCTTGAATATAGGGAGGTTATGTTTTACAATAAATTTTTGCTGGGAATGATCTAATATGCCCCACTGTGAAGAGCGGTGTGTCTATCTTGTTCAACCTATTTCTGGCCTTAAGTACGGGTGTCACAAATACCTGATGGATAGTGGGTAAATGAATGGATGAGGGAATGAGAGAGGGAATGAGACTGCCTGTAGAAATGTTTATGTAATTTCATTCAAACAGTTGGTTTGTACTAGAATATTAAGTAGGTGAGTTTTCCAATACTCTGTAAGGTTACAGATCGCTAATCTTTGGGGATCTTGGAAATTCTCAACCAAAGCAAGGGACACATAATGTTACAATTGCTAATTACAGGTATATTTTGCAAAAGTCTTCGTTAAGTGCTGTATGCTTCAGAACTGACTCAGAATTTCAGAGATTTGTTTGGCAATGAATCATACATTAATTGTACATATGCTCTTTTGAAACACTCTTTAGATGCTGGAAACTGAAGAACAATGCATGTTTATTGAAGATGGGAAAACATAAACAAAGCTCTCATTGGTCTAAATTAGCAGCTTTAGTTCATAATAAGAGACAACACAAAGACATAATGTTTAGTTTAGCATAAATTATGCTTTTTATAATATGCCACTGGAAACAATTTTTGTTCATTCTCTGTGGTAAAGTCACATTGTATATAAAGAACACCTAAAGTTACTGACAGAAATGTTTTCTAATTTTCAAGAAATAAAGTTATTCAAAAAGGATTTTCATAGAAACACATTTTTCCTTCAGAAAATGTTTTCTTAACTAATTACAGCTAAAGAAGTGGTCTCATCTAAGGAGTCATTTTCTTGCAAACTGCAATAAAAGCTGGTAAAACAGCTATCAAGGTTTGGTTGCAAATGTGTTGAAAGGTAATTTCCTCTTTTTTCTTAATTTTGAAAGCTGTGGTTTAAGCCCATTAAAGATGTATGAATATACATGAAGGTGCTTTTTAAAGACAGTAAAGCATAAACATCTAAATTACTATTTATAGGACTTACTTTTTCTTTTTTTTTGGAAGAACCAGTGTTTTATATCAGCCCTACTAGTAAAAAAATAAAAAAATCTCTCCCTGGTTTCAACTCATAAGTTATCATCAATAACCTACAACTTAACCAACTGGGTAACTCTACCATTATATTATTAAAATTATACCACCACCTGCTATGTTACCACAAACGTCAATTTTCTAATTCCATTAGATAATACATCTCTGAGTTGAAAGCTATCTATAAATACAAGTTACAACTCCAGGAAAAATATCTATACTTTAAAGGATTTTACCAGATTGGCTTAGATTGTAAATATAATGTATCCAGGGAAGGGCTGTAATATGTATAGACAAATATTGAGTGCAGTTCATTTTTAAACCTGTTACACTTACTGATGAACCCCAAGAACTTCCCAATCATGTCCAACATCCTGGGGTCCCATTAAGGTTTGCATTGTATCCGGGTAGATTTCTATCAGTTTGCAGAGAAGTGACCAACCAACCTGAACGCAAGAAAGGAAAATATTCACATTTTTAAAAAACACCTAAACGGAACATAGTCAGTCAAACATGCATCTCTTCATTCTTAGTAGACTGGGGTGACTACATTATTTTTAAATGATTATTTTGGAACAAAATGATATCCTAAAATGCTTACTGAGAATGAAAGCCATATATTGGAATACATTTTTCTACAAAAATCATACAGAAGGACAAACAAAAAAATATTGTAACATTTCTGAATAGTGAAGGAAATAGGCAAGCCTATTATCCAAATAAAAAGAAATAAAAATAAAATAACACACATACACAAAGTTTCAGAGGACATATCAAGATTATGAAATGCAAGAAAGGCTATACACAGGACTTAGTGCTTTTTAAGTCATGTCTACCCAGAAGAATCTCTTCTAAATATTTAGGATTTTAATTATAGGGGGAAATGAAGTGATTAGTTGGAGATTTTAATGGCAAAGTATAAGCTGTCAGGAAAGACTGCTGCCCAGATATGGAACAAGAGCAACTGGAAAGAGAAAGAGCAGAGCATTGTCTGATGATATATGTGACATAACATATATATATATATATATATATATATATATATATATAATATGAATGACATCTATTACAGGAAAGAGAGACAGGCATATTAGATAGACAGGAGATAGACTATCTAGATACCACAAACGTCCTGAGACTCACATTTCCAAATGGAATACAATCTTTCTGGTGCATTTTAAATATATCTTCATTCAGTCCCTTTATACATGCCACCTTGAATAAGTTGCCCTTCTTAAAAATATATGATTTCTTATAAAATGTGTTATTTTTAATTCCAAGCTGGAGATTAAAAGTAACACAACCTTCCTGCTACAAATGCCTCTCTAAACTTAAGGAATTCTCCATTCTTTCTGTTGTACTTCAGAACTACACTTGATAGGGTCAGAAAAAGAACAAAAGAAAATAGAAAATGCCTATATATGCGGCATCTAGAAATAAATGAAAAGTGTCCAAGTATGATACGTGATAAACATCAATATGAATCCTGAAAGTGGGATTCACTGCCAGCCAGAATTACTCAGAAGGGACTAGAACATAGAAACAGTAGGACTTGAGCCAGATTTCAAAAAATTATAAATTAGTCAATCAAAATAGGGAAATGAGAGCTTTTAAAACTGATGAGCTATGAGGAGAGGAAGGTGCAAAACGGTAAGAAGAGGGTGCTTGTTAAATAAGACTGGGTGCCTAAGTGGAGCTGAGGGATGCGAAAATCTGAGTGGCAAGATAGAACAGTTCTATGCAGCCAGTAAGGAACAGTGGCACAGGTCTCTTATTTATAGGAGCAAACAAGGGGTATTTCACAATATAAAAATGACACAAGATCTCTTTGCAAGGATATTTCTGGATCTTTTCGGAATTAAGCGTAAATCGCTTTGTCATAGCTCCCTTTCACATGCTTTCAAATTGCTTGAAAAGGCAGCAATTCCTGACAGCTATTTTTACCTACATTCAAGTAGGACATCCTCCTCCACGTAAGCTGAACAGACATGGACCATCCAGTCGTCACAGAACCCAGCTGTTTTTGTGCTTTTTGATAAAATATATTGAGACATTTTTCCCCCCCAGGTATTTAAGAAAGTAACATTCAGAGCAGCTTCTGGTGAGACATAAATCATGAATCACATGGGATGCTAGAGCCATCTCTGTGCCGGCATGGCTGACTCGAGGAGAACACCTGTGTTGTTTTCGTTGGTGAAGCAGGACCATCAGTAATTGCTTCGCGGAAAGACTGGGGCAGGTGAGCTTCTGTGATTGAACAGAATCTCCGGCAGCGGCAGCGATGCAGAGGCAGCCACCGTTACTCTAGTCAACTAAAAGCGTATCTTTCAGAAGAAGGCTCCCATTCTGCACAGTTATAATACAATTAAATTGGTGCTTCACTTTATTATAATTATTCTGTAAACTCAAGTATCTAATTAATACACAATAGGAAAGAGTTTAGGGGTTACAGAACATTTCAGTCACTTTCATTTATTTCACTCCCTTTCTTCAAAGATTGAAACAGTGTGGATAAAGAGAAGTAATGTCAAACCGAAGAACACAGAGAAGTGACCAGCTGACTGGCAGGAAAATTAAATTATAAGACAGCTAGCCTAAATGCCAATTCTCTGAAGACTGTCATTTATTAAGAAACATTAATAAAATATGAAAAGATCCTGAAAATAAAAATTCAGAGTCTGGACTAACCTGTTACATTCATCATGAAAAGCTTTTAGTTCAGCACTTCCAGCTAATTCAACATATAAAGTATTAAAGGAGATCTATGCTAATTACACCAGAAATATGAAGAAATTTGAGGGGAAAAAAAAAACACTTTCTTTTAAGTGGAGATTAAATTATCAGTAGACAGATCCCTTTCTACATCCCTTTGATAAGCCAATAATAAAATTGGTAATGTCTTTGTGCCTAGCATGACCACAGTATTTCTACCAAACCATTTCACTTTTTAGTTGCACAAAAGCTTGTGAATGTATCAGTTAGGGGACTGTATGATGGGAAGAGATCTTGAAGTGCGTAAAGACTTGAGTCCTGGCTCCGTCACGAGCTCTGTGATCCTAAATGAGCTGCTTAACTCTGAGTCAAAAAATATCCAGAGATTTCTGAGAGGGTAGTGAGATTCCATACACCCTTTGCAGACTAATACAAGTATGGTGCTGAAACTAATAGCGCTATTCCCTTAAATTACCAAATTAGAAGACAGTGCCTTATTTTCTTGCATATTCAGTCTCTGGTACCCACAGGGCAAGAATGTTGAGTGACATTCCTCACTACTCCAGATAAGCATGTTGAGGCTTGGGCAGTTTCCAAAAAGAAGAATGAGGTGGTGGGTATGTTCTAGTCTCCCGCTGGATTCTCAAGTCTGGACTCTGCAAACCAAATCCCACAGGGTCCAGTTGTTGTAAGCAGGGCCCCGTAGAAGTGACTGCTCAGCTTAGAATTCAAGGAACGGAGGCAGTGAGAAGAGGCGCTTTGGAACATCAGAGCAGACGCAAGCACGGAGGGATGATGTGGGTGGAGAGCAAGCTCAATGGGCCAAGGCTGAAAAGTGACTCATATTTCATGGGCAAAATTGAGACACTGGGTGCTAAAAAGAACAGTGTCTTTATCATGCCTCCCATCTTTTCATGGTTTGGTTTGCTAACAGACTGAAAATCAATAGTCAGATGGGAAGTACTTCAGTTGAGAAAAAAATAAAAGTTGCCGTTTATTCCACTTACAATATGTCCTCATTGAAAGTAGCTAGGTATATGGTTCAGACTAGACATGGCTGGATACACAGATAAACACAAAGATACAAGAAGATAGATTTTGAGCTCCAGATAATTCTTAAATCCTTCTACCCTCTCAAGCAGATAGGAAGAAAATTGACTTTCTGACTGCACCTTGATAGAGTTCAAAGTTAAATCCACTTTCCCTTCAGGACCTAACATGCAAATGACGAAACTGGTTTCAGTTCTCTAAATCTCAAAATTTACAAAGGAAGTTAACAAGTGAGGCAGTAATTTTGTTTTGACTATAGAGCATTCTTAATTATCATGTTAGGGCTCCCTTTTTAATATGTCAAATATTTGAGCAAATTTCTGGGTTTCCTACAGTACAGATTCTAGAAGTTTCACTTTTACATTCATTTTATATGAAAACAGTTGAAAAGTATAAATTTAAACTCATAGGGGAGTCATAAAACATGACTTTCTTTAGATAACGTAAGTTATACTGCAACTAAAGAAGGCTGGAAATCTGTCTTCAAATTATAAACAAACCTATGAGAGTTTGCCAATTCCAGCATTTTATTAATTTAATTATCAACTTTATTACTGTTCATTCTTCCCCTTTCCCAAACTATTCACAATGATGTCAGCCCTAGGACATGCTGTACATTGGAAAGAATCTTAGAATAATTTGATATGAACACTGATGAACTCATCTGGCCAATGACAGAACTAAACCTCAACCCCACCCCGGCACCATCCATAAAGTCCGTCAGTCAACAGGATAGCTACTTCTTCAAGACTATTAGGCTGCACACACGGGGCCCTTTCACACCGTTAACATCTGGCAACCTGACAGCGCTCCCATCTTAAAAATCAGGCTGTGGTCTGTCAAGCCGTATCTCAGACACAATCCAGAACTCTAGGTATAGAATATTGACAGAAAAACATCTACTTGCAAAGGGCAAGGGATTGGGCAAAGAGGAAACAGCCAGCCCCTCTACCTGCTGCACGCTGGCGACCCTCATGTACGACTCCAAGACGATCAACAGAGGCACGTGCACATTTTTGCCTTCAAATAACCTGGAGGCTGGAAAAGAAAGGGATGAGGGAAGAGAAGTCAAGTCACGATTCATAGCAACC